GATGGAAAATTGGTGCTGGCAGATGAAAGAAAAAAAAAACTACAGCTAAGTTATAGTCCGTCAAGTCTTTAGTGACAATGGTATTACCATGAAACAATTGAATGTTAGTAGTTGCTGAAAATATTTACCTGCCCCAACTTAATGTCTCCACGGTTAGGGTTGAAGAGTACATGAATATTGCCAACCACAAAGCTTCGTGATGATATACTCCTACACAAAAATTTGGACAACCATAACCAAACAGATTAAAAAGAATTTAGGTAAAACTTACACAAAATACTGCAAAAAATGACAATTTTTAAAAGCTCAACATGTTGAGAATAATGAAAAAATAGAGCAAACTTACTCCGAATTTGAAGCACCCATATCCTTACTTGAGTTTTTCACGTTCATCTAAAAAGTATGAAAAGAACTACAGATCAAAATAGGCTCCAGCTGAATATTAGAGTAAAATTAACTCTTTGCGACCATCTTGTAATGTACAGGGGAAACAGAAGGCAGACTTGCATGGAAATCAAAGAAGTATCGTATAACGTCCATCTCTAGCACAGACTCTAACAAATGACGAACCCATCTGTCCCTTTATTCATAACATATGCAGCTTGGGTAGAGTGCATGTATGCCATAACACCACACTTCTATTCTTTCGCCAGGATGGGGCTTTTTGGTGGAGGGTTGACTAAAGGAGCTAGACAATAGACTTAACTCCGAGATTAAAAAGCCTCTTTTTTAATAATTAAGACATCTGATATCATGGAAGCTGAACACGAAGTTGTGTCAAAGAGATGGTAAATCCATGAAACAGCATGTATTTCTGAAAATATCAGCACACTTTAGTTTGATCATCTGATTTACTAACAATCCAAAGCAACCTTCTTATAGTAAGTTAGTACTTAGTAATTATTCGAATCATAAGAAGCAAATTGGAAGTGCCAAAGAAAGAGATAATGTTATACATAGAGCAAAAACAACCAAACAGAAATTTAATATTTTAAATATAACACATAGCAGGTTTACCTTGAAAACACAAAGTTGGCAAACATTATTGCGTAGATCAAACTTCTGGAATTCTATGCTCTCCTCGTGCAGAAGGTCAAATCTGCAACCAGATATATATTTGTAATATGAGAGAGTAGAATAAATTGGATAAACTAGTAGGAAAAGCTCATAGCAATAGGTTTTCAATTTCCATAGAAAATAACCAATATTGATAAGAAAAAAACAAAGCTTTTAGCAGTAGGTCTTCATATCCCATAAGAAGAATCTACAGCTTACTAAGCAACAACAAAATCTGAAAGAAATTAAGAAAAAATCAAGGCCATACAGTTCTCTCTTCCAAAATATAGCACAACCATCACATGTATCACCTGTACGAGCCTAGTAAAGGGAAAATAAAACACACATTTGATTCAATATGTGATAAAAAAGTACAACATACAAATCATCCCTAAAGAATTTCAGCCATAATTATAATGCACCTGATAAACTCCTTTGAAGCCCTCTTTCTTGAGGAGATAATCTAAATCATCATAACAATCAACCTCCTGCGGGCATACGAGTATAAGTAAGTTTCTCTAAAGAAGCCGAACATCTTCATAAAGTGTTTAGCAAGTAATGCACTTTCTAAGAAGATAATGAAACAATAATTTCAACTACAATGTTATTTATTTCTTAGTCTCTCAGCTCATTTTCTTCCCCTTTCTTTTTTGATGAGTAAAGATACAGAAAGCTAGAAATTTTGAAATTAAAACTTACCTGGAAACACATTATACCCGGATTATATTCTCTAATTTCCTTGCGAATAAGCCGCTTGCGGTAGTCCCAATCCAAATA